TCTTCTTGGTGAGTCCTTCACATAGAAGTGGGTCGTAGTCATCTTCTTGGTGGGTCCTTCACATAGAAGTGGATCGTAGTCATCTTCTTGGTGTCATCCTCCACATAGAAGTGGGTCGTGGTCATCTTCTTGGTGGGTCCTTCACATAGAAGTGGGTCGTAGTCATCTTCTTGGTGTCATCCTCCACATAGAAGTGGGTCGTGGTCATCTTCTTGGTGGGTCCTTCACATAGAAGTGGGTCGTAGTCATCTTCTTGGTGTCATCCTCCACATAGAAGTGATAAAAAGAAAAAGCTATTTAAGGCTGATACTTTTTGGGTGGTAAATCCAACTCTGTAACTTCTAAAGTACTAGAGAAGTAACTCAAAAGAGTCCACTTCATGCATATTACCCCGAAATTTGGCTGTATTTTTCTACGCAACTGACCATCCAGTTTTCAGATAGATACAAGAAGCAATTCCAAGTCGTTTCATCTTCGGAAACATTGATAATAAACATCCCTATTGAACATTTGTATGTATTAAGTCAATAAAATGTTCAGAAAACATTCATTTTTGTCAATTTTTTTATAGTTTTGTATGGCAAGCAGTTAGAGAAAGTGATAAGTGGTGGATTCGAGGTAAAAAAAGCGCACAATTCCAAGATTTACGACTGATTTGCTGCAAAAATTCCTTAGAAGGGTTTGGTTGGGGCTTGCTTAATATAGATTATTAACAATAAAATCAATTCAGTGATCTCGATTACATAAAAACGCGATCTAGTGATCGAATTGATCGAATTGATCGAATTGATCGAGTTTAAAAGTTTAAAAGCATCAAAGTTTAACCTTGTACTTTGGCGTAAATTTATAATCAACCATTAGTCCACAGAATTTCCACAGAACAGAAAACAGAATCTTTGAGCTTTACCTCATCTTAAACAAATTTGGATGTTTGAGGCGTTCAAAGCTTTTATCAGCTTATCGAGAAAAGGGTAAGTTCGGCTTTCGACAGAGAAAAAGTTCTCGGAAACAGATTGAAAGGAGGGTAAATAGGAAAAGCTTATAGTGGAAAATAAAATAATCACAGAAATAATCACAAGGATTATCAAAGGGATGCGGTAGATAAGCTGATTAACCCAGGAAATAAAAATTTTCACTTTCAAGTTAGAGAAGTTTATCCGAGGCTTATCCGAGGCTTGTTTTTTCTTTCGATTTTTGTTAAAATCGTTAGTCAAATCAAATTCTATTTTATATTATTTGAAAGCCTGGGTGTTAAATGGTAAATAAAGTGAATATATTAGGTTGATGCATAAGTGTTTTTGTTCCTTTTCGTCTGCCGTTTCAAGCCAACAAATGCACGAAATAAACTACGGTTGATTTCATTAGAAAAAGCAATTATTTTTCTGCAAAATAACATTAAAACGGGTTTAAAAATATTTAATGCCTGGATTTTCTTGAGAGTATGAAGTCGGGTAGTCAAAAAGGGCTAACTCGATGATGCGGTTTAGACACCTTAGCTAAAGAAAACCTATCTTCGTGTCAATAGATAAAAGATAGAGAAAAAAAACGTTTGATATTTCGCCAAAATTTCAGAGAAATTCATTCAGCCAATTTTTCCGTAGAGTTTTTTATAGATTTTTACGAAAAAGGCGTTTTTCACTCTCGAATTTGCTTGAAAGTGAACCGAAATTCATTTAAAAAGATGCAAATTGAACAAAAAAACACTTTTTTTATAGAGCAAACTATAGATTAATTCGTGAATTTGTTACTTTTTAACAGAAGTACGAAAAAAACGAAAAGACTTATGCATCAACCTATTATATATAGATACTTTATTCAGGACCTGAGATAAAGTGCGCTGGATTTAAGATTAAAACACATCAATTCATACACATAACACGAAAAGGGCCGATAAAAAGAAACACGGTATAATATATGTAAAATGTGGGTAGCACAGATAACGTCAAGGATCCACTAGAGCTTCAAGATCAAGACCATCTACAGGTTTCGAGACTATTGGACTCTCTCAAAACTCTGGGGAGTCGATTCCAAATTCTGGCAGTTCTTATTGGAATTCTTATTGGAAAAGAGTTATAAACAAACTTATTGGAGGTAACTGGAATTTCTAAAACGAAAGAACCTCTCCTTGACCAGCTGACAGCTGACAGCTGGTGCTCCTTGATTAACTTTGAATAAATGGTAATGAATGGTAAATAAAGTGAAATGGAATAAAGTTAAATGAAAGTGGTTAAATGGTAAATAAAGTTAATGGTAAATGAATAAAGTTAATCACAAAAAAAGAATTGTCAAATGAAAATGTGAGAAAGAAATTCCGTGAGAAATGAAAGCTTTTAAATGAAAGAGACTTAAAAGCTTTCATTTCTCTATCTCCCAAAATTTCGATTTGCTCATCTAAAAAGTGAGCCGATCATCGACAAACATTGTACATTGGATATGAAAGAGAGAATTTGACTTTAGATGTCCAATGTGCAATAAAGGAAATAATAGGGAGTCTGGATGGGAGAAAACGTGGATGTTTCCGGGCTCATTTTGGGGGAATCCCCAAACATTTGTGGACATTGCTTTGATGAGAGCTCAAGGGAGCGCTTGAATTTTGAACTCTGAAATTGGAAAACCCATGAAATTCAATTTAAAAGGGATTTTACGGTTAGGCATTCAAAAACCAAGTGTTCAAAGTTTTAAGTCTAATAGAAAAATGACTAAATCCCTGATTTGTATTATCGGATAATCGAAATGTAGCTCTAGTTCTGTGACTCTGACTTTAGCAGTCACTTTAGCAGACTTTAGCAGACTTTAGCAGTGACTCTAACTCTTGTAGGTTTGCTTTTCGTCTTCTTATACACTCCTGAACATAACTTTACGACCAGTTAAGAAATTGTTTGAAATTTGTTTGAAATTTTACTTGCTTTTGTGCTTTTCATTCTTTTCTGTGCTGTTTTCAAAACAAATCTTTTTATTTTAATGATGGCAAAAGGAAGCAACTTTCCGAGAAAGAAAAGGAGATGATCAAAGAAATGAATCAAGCTGGAGACAGCTATTGAGAAATTGCTAGGAAAATCGGTCGTTCGATTGATTGATCAGTACCTATCTCAACGATCCAACCGGTTATGGCAAAATGAAACATACGAGACGAAAGCTTTTAGTGATGGAAACAACTTTCTGATAAAGAAATGGGGATGATCGAAGCGATAAATCAAGCTGGAGACAGCTATCGAGAACTTGCTAGGAAAATTGGCCGTTCGCACCAATTGATCAGTACCTATCTCAACGATCCAACCGGTTATGACAGAATGAATGAAAACCGAGCACTACAAAGCGGGAATGACTAATCATTCTCAAATTCGACATTAACTTCTCCTCAAATCAAGGCTAATCTCAATCTGAATGCGTCACGAACGATTAGAAGGGTGATCAACAAGAGCTCGATCAACGGAGACGTTCATTCCTTGGAGACGTATGATACGTCTTCCTATAGGTGAACAACGTCTTTCTATGAACATGGTGAACCCTGTTATGTACCTATAATAGTTTTAATCAAAAAGAGTTTTCAAATTTTGCTATGCTTCTTCTGGATCACTGAATTTTGAGACTCTAACTTTTGCAATATAAGAAAGACTGCGGTGGCTTTTATTATCTCTCTTTTTAGGTTCCCTATCTCTCTAAATTTGGTTACCTATCTCTCTAGATTATGTTGTTGTAGTTCCAAGTCCAGAAACAGCAGTTAGACTCCAGCTAGAGGAGACTTTGAAGTGATTCAACAATATTATCCTAAAAAAGCATCAGAGATGTTTCTAAAAACTATGCAGCTTAAAGATTTATTTGGATGAAAACCGAGCACTAAAAAGCGGGAATGACTAATCATTCGAAAAGCCTCAAATTCGACATGGACTTCTTAAAGATTTATTGGAAAAAAACACTAGCCAATCTTTATAGAACATATCTGGATTCATTTTGCATAGTTGCATGGTTCGGATACAGCTCCAATATGGTTCCCATATGGTTTGGATCTGGTTCCAATATGATTCCAATATGGTTCCAATATGGTTCCAATATGGTTCATATCATTTTGCAGTAAACAATAAGCTTCAACATGCTCTACAAAGTGTATTTTGAGCAGAGAATAAAAATGCACCCTTTTCCAGAGTATTTTTTACTTTTTCCTTACTGTGAGATGAGAAATTCGACCTTCATTTTCCATTTTTGAGCTCAAAATGCACGAGTTCAGGCTATTTCAATTTAAACTCGTATAAAACGATATTCGAACGAACGATAAAACGAAAACTTGATCGATCACCAAAAGTTTACTTCATTTTTTTCATTCATATTTGTGCAGAATGGTTTGTTTTTCTTTACTCGACAAAACAGAACGTGTCATCCTCGTCTAGCTCGACCGATGGCCAGATAAATATTATGCATAAAATTGAGCTCTCAATAATCATGAGGATTGAAATAATGTCCAAATAAAGAAAAAAAAAGTGAGCTTTCTCTCGAATATTTCTGCTTATTTTGTCTCTTTCATCGTTGTGTGTTGATTGAAATTAGTCGAGCACAGGCAAATAAAAGTTTCGAGAAACAAAGTTGGTTCAGCAAGCCCTCAGATTGCGATTGTTGGAAATAGGGAGTGGCAAAAAAAATGTTTAAATGTTCATTGGTTCATTTAGTATACTGTAAGTGAATTGGCTTTATTGAATCGGGATTTTATTCAAGTTTTCTGGATCTAGAGAGAAATCTTGAGAAAATCGAGAGACAAAGCTCTCAACCAGCTATTTTACTAGCTACTGTTTGAATAATGTTTTAACGGAATGCAAAGTTTCTTTTATCAAATATCGGGATCATTTTTAAGGACTACTGTAGCTTTTAAGGACTACTGTAGGACTTTTTAAGGACTACTGTAGCTAGGACTTTTAAGGACTTTAAGAACTTTGAATCAAATCTTTCAAAAACTAGCTAGAAATCAGTTAAGATTAAGTTCGTACTGGTGTTACAATAGCAATAATTTATTCCCGCTTTGCATTGAACACTTCGATAGCAAATTGGTGTACATCCGATGAGCAGAGACTGTTTCTGATTGGTGCATCGAAAGTCGATGAGGAGATTGAATGGAAAACATCGGAGAGTGGAGGGATGTGACGAGCCATTGGAGATGGAGAAGTCGAGGAGATTTTCTGGAAATCCTAGATTTAGACGGTTTTTAGGATGAGTTATTTATTTAGTTTGAAAACTTTCGCACTTCTTTAGCTAACCAAGAGTCTACTAGGTAATCTGTCTCTGAAAACGTTGAAGATTAGATCTAATCTAATTGATTAATTGATCAGCTTATTAGCTCTAATCTAATTGATCAGCTGATCTAATTCTAAAATTGTGTTAACAAGTCGATTTATGAACTTACATGGCATGCTGTAGAGAGATAGTAATCGGCGAGGGCTTTCATCGTTTCTCGGCATCGATCCGATCGAAGAGCACGGATCAATCGACGGATTAAATTCTGGAGATTGTCGCTTACCATATTCTGAAAAGTAGTAAGGTTTAAACAATTTTAGACAATAAAAGTTAACTGTTTGCTTGTTTGTTGGTTTGTTTGTCTGTTTGTTTGTTGATTTGTTTGTTTGTTTGCTTGTTTGTTTGTTGGTTTGTTTGTCTGTTTGCTTGTTTGTTTGCTTGTTTGTTTGTTTGTTTGTTTGGTTGTCTGTTTGTTTGTCTGTTTGTTTGTTTGTTTGCTTGTTTGTTTGCTTGCTTGCTTGTCTGTTTGTTTGTTTGTTTGTTTGTTTGCTTGTTTGTTTGCTTGTTTGTTTGCTTGTTTGTTTGCTTGTTTGTTTGCTTGTTTGCTTGTTTGTTTGTTTGTTTGTTTGCTTGTTTGCTTGTTTGTTTGTTTGTTTGTTAACTGTTTGCCTGTTTGCTTGAGCGAACGTAGCGCGTTTATTACAAAGAGATTAGAAACTACAGAGTTTGATATAACATTAATTTTGTTGTTAGTTTAGATAGATTTGTTGTTAGTCTTCGATAAGCAATTGATGTTATTAGAAAATTGCTTGAGCCAATCAATCTTGCTTTGTCAAATAATGTTTTCAAAATCTTACAGCATTCTCATCCAACGGTGCCACCAAATGACTCAATTCCGGGTTCTCCACGAGAAGTCGTTTTTCGATTCGCTCAACCAGGGATCGGATCTGAAATTTATATCTCTAAAATTCTTGTTGTCAACAAACTACCTCCTCCTTTGTGAGCTGGGTCTTCAATGAAATCTCTGTCATCTCATCGCTTACCGTCTTCTCGACCAAATCGAGAAGTCTTGGGATACCTAAAGCATATTCAAATTTTCCAAAAGCAAAAGTTTCAAAAGTTTTACCTGTTGTTGTAAAGTATTGAATACATTGCATGAAAATTTGCTGGCTATTGGCATCAACTGATTTGCCAGGTTGATTTGTGGATTCACCATGGAAGAGATTGGTGACAGCTGATGGAAGATAAGAAGTCCTAAAAGTTACTAGAGTAATTCGTTAAGTAAAAATTCTTTCCCAGTCTTACAGTATCTTTCTTCCTAGTGAAAATGTGTTACTTTGAAGTAAACTTGATAACTCGAGAGCTCTAGAGTAAACAAAATGGTTCTGATAGTAAGCTTTATAAAGTAGTGGTTTTAGGAGAACTAGTTTAGCTAGAACTAGCTAGAACTAGCTAGAGCTAGAAACTAGAATTAGTCTAATCTTAAGCCAGATTTTTCACAAAACACTAACCATCCCGAGCTCTTCGGTGGCTCTTCAAACTGTGCACAAATGTCGGAGGCCAAAATCGAGATTTGAGCTTTAAGAGTGACGGTGAGAAGGGAATATGAATAGGCCAATCCGAGTAAACGAGCAAAGGCATAAATCTAGATTTTTCGAGTTTTATTTAACTGTGAAATTCTATTTCTATTTTGCAACTAACTCAAACCTTCATTTGCTCCCATTTTGTGAATTTCTGCTCATGTGTGAGTTCGTTGTTTGTCTCGATTTCTCTCTTGATCACATCAACATTGAATCGACTCTGGAATTGATTTTAGTGAAGAAAGTGGTAAGTTAAACTGCTAAAAATGCTAAAAATGCTAAAAATTGTACGAATTTACCTCGATAAGTCTTTTAATGGTGGGTACAAGCTCGAGTATTGATTGATCACACGTTCGTTGATTGCTGTCAAAGACGTAATGTCGGCGGGCCTGAAGCTTTGTGATTTTACAGACAAATACCGTAGCTTGTTACAGACAAATACCGTAACCTTAATCTAATGTGTCTTAATCTGTCTCATTACAGTAGTAAAAGAGTAAACTGTGCTAAAGATATTCAGCTTTGTCAGCAGAATAAAGGCATTCTGATACGCTTTAGTGAAAAAAGAACCTCAAATTTTACAATACTTTCAAGATATTCAGCTTTTTCAGTGACTTACAGTATTCTTACAGTATTCCTGAATGTACTGATAGTTTTAAAAACTGCTCAAAGTTAATTATTCTGGTGCCAAACTTTTGAGAATGAGATTTCCACAAGAAATTGTTGCCGAAGAATATGATTGTAGTATTTATCTATTCTAGTTTATCTATATTTTAAGTATCTAGCCTTAATATTACAAATTGTTACAAATTTCACTTCTTTACCTGCACTTTATATGCTTCGGATTGTGGTGATTGTTGGTGTAAAGATTGACCTTGTTGATAAGACTGGTAAAGAGCAATCGATGTTCCAACCTGGGAAAAGAGTGGAATGTACATTATATTATAATGTACAAAATGTACATTATAAGACAATTAGAACTTATATAACAAGTTATTTACTTAACAACTACTACAATAATAGTGAGAGATGATAAGTTTTATAAAACAAACCACCGCCGATGTGCCCAAAACAATCTTTCCCTTGTGTCGCTTGATGAACTCCCATGTGCCGCTCATTTTAGTGAGAAATTAGAAGCTAAAGTTTTTGGATAATTCAAAATGAATACAAAATAAAAGCAAAAATAAAATTTGAAAGTTTTGAATTTGAGAACTTTGAGATCCTGAACTTTTTGCTGATACTTTTCGGAGGTATAACCTCTTCACTGATTCCCTGGCATGGTACGGACCAATGCCTGGGAATCAATAAGTTTGTAAACAAGTCTTGGAGATCTGGAGAACAAGAATATTGGAGATCTGAAACATTTTTTTTAACGGGCTAAACATTGTAGAACTTGTATAAAAATGTTACTGTACCTAGTTACTGTACCTAGCAAGATTTAAGTTCAGCAACTGACGGAGAACTTGCTACTTTTTAAGAACCTAATGTATTTAAAGAAAACCATCCAGGACAAATAAATAATCTAAACCACTAAGAAATTTAAATTTATTAATTGCAAAAACTTAAAAACAAATCGATTGCAATCAACAAAAGGGGGAAGCATGAAAAAGAGATCTCGATAATCGGCACAAAGTGGTTCAAAAACTTCGAAATCACCAATGACCGGGCAAAAAAAGGGAAAAGACAAGTAATGAAGGGAGAAAAGGTTTTCTTTTTTGGATTGAGTGGGGGAAGAGAAAATTTGATAAGATAGGAAAAGAGAATTGGGGAAAATAGAGTACAGGCTACACTACGAGAAAATCAGTCTTTTTGGGGGTAATTTATTAATTGGGTAATTGAATCGATGATGGGGATTGTTGAGTTCCCAAAATGGATTCAATTCTGGAGCTTGATAACAGAGATTATAGTACGGTAACCTCCACACCCAAAAATTTCCTAGCGTGAGCGTTTTAGACGTGGCGCACCCGGTAAAGCATCCGTCTACGGCACCAGAAAGGTCGTAGGTTCGATTCCGGGTCCGACCGGAAACTTTAAAAAATGCTAGAGACTTTGTTTTGGTTCCATTAGAATTCTGAAAACTGCTCCATTGCCGTATAACGGAAATCAGACCTCTGTGTCGGTGATGTTCAAGTCGAAAAATCCAATAAACCCATGCTTCTGAAAATGGATTCAATTTTCTCTTTTGATACTAATTACGAGAACCGGACAGATAAACTGATCGAGATAAAAGCGAAACGGTTAACTGCCTGTGAAAAGAATTACATACTGTCAGTGTAGCTGAGTTCTTTGGCAAGTCTTTGCTTTGAACATCACATACTTTCAAATCTGATTACCTTGTTGGCTTGGTAAAGAATTCAGCTCGAGTCAGTCAGTCGAGCTAAAAATTCAATTCAAACGCTATTTCAAGACTGATACTTCTGTGCAGCACAGTAACTGATTCAGTAAAGCTTTAGTATTCAATTAGTGAGCGGCTTCTTCATCATTTGAAACTAAAAGTCTAAACCGAGACGACTTTATTCCAAGATAAGTGTTCGTCAACTTTCAACTTTCGACGTCAACGTCAACAACTCCAATGGTTTAGAAAGAAAATTTCAAAATTTGAATTTTTTATATTGCGGTTCGGTTGATTTTGAATGAAAACTCGAAAATTTTAGTCTTTTTCACTTTAGATAGTTATCGCCACAAATATTGAAAGTGTCAAAGTCCTAAAAATTTCTTGCATGAATCAGCAATTCTTCTCTATTCCTGTCTTTTCCCGATTGAGTCATCCAGCTGTTATACTTCCAGATGGTTCCAGAAAAGGAGAAAATCGATCAATTTTTGCACATACTACCATTAATATAGCTTAATTTTATTAGGTACCGACTTTTAGCAACATTTCCCATTGCGATTTCCATGAACCGTGCACTGAACACTATAAAACACTTTGCGAATTATCGTATTTCGGTGGAAAAAGGAACATTCTGGGGGCCTAAAATTTCCCAAAAGGCGCCTTCTAGAACCGTCTATGCGAGCGGGGAAAAAGGATTTCGAAAGAGAGAAAAAGAGAAAAGAGAGCATTGCTCTGTCTGCTCTCCCCTTCAAAAGGACCCCGAGTAGACACGAAAGCTCATTTCTGTCTACCTTGCCTCAGTTTAAAAATTTTCCTTCATTTTCGAATCCCCTATCCACTTTAAATGCTTAATTTTATCTAACAGAAAAATTCGCGACGCACAATTGCGTAAACGCATTTTATTACTTTCTAAAAAACACTCATTAAAAGCACATCGATTTGGCGCTTTATAATGCGCTCCCCGTATACCGTACCATAGCAACGCTTCCTTGCAGTCGCACTTGGAAAAAAATTATTTCATTTGTTCAAAATTTCCTAAAAGGGGCGGTTTAATTTTATTTTATTCGCGCATTAATTTAGTTTTCCTCTCCGAAATGGTATATTGGATCGATACGCATTGTGCTTAGACTTGCTTGTCGATGTTATCGATACAAACCGCGTGCTCATGTTTGACCCTTCAGATCTCGGTTGCTAGAACAGTTATCAATCTGCAAATTGTTTCACGCTGTTAGTTTTTCGCCGCCTTTGAGTATACACCCAATCGATAGTTTCTTTTGTTGTGAGCGTTGCATGGATAACCTCCAAAATTATGTCAATTATTGAAATCTGCCACAAATAGGCCTATGGTTCCGCTTACGAAATTTCCTTAGCTTTCCCGAAGATTTCGGGCCCATTTGTGCGCTATTTTTAAACGGACCTTGTCACCAATTTCATTCATTTGTTTCATTTCTTGCCTTTACGGAGTTAACTTTTTTATTTACAGGTAGTTGTATAATCAACTTGCAACAAAATGGCCAAAGCAAACGCTGTTGGAATCGATCTTGGAACGACCTACTCGTGTGTCGGAGTCTTCATGCACGGCAAAGTGGAAATCATTGCCAATGATCAAGGTAAAGTTTGTTTATTCTAATCAAAATCTTTTTAAAGCAAGATGTAACTGCTAAGTTTGTAGTTAGCTGCTTAATTTAATTGTAAACTTTGGTTGAATAGAAACATTGTCAAAGGTCTCATGATTTGCTTTAACTTACAACGCTTTAATTTTAGGAAACCGAACAACCCCTTCGTATGTGGCCTTCACTGAGTCGGAACGTCTGATCGGCGATGCCGCTAAAAATCAAGTGGCGATGAACCCGCACAACACTGTATTCGGTTAGTTTCTGTTTATTAAAAAATATACTAACTGTGTGAATTTAGATGCGAAACGTCTCATCGGCCGCAAATTCGAGGACCCAGCTGTTCAATCAGATATGAAGCACTGGCCCTTCAAAGTCGTCTCAGCCGAAGCCGGAAAGCCAAAGATTGAGGTCGAGTACAAGGGAGAAAACAAGACCTTCACTCCCGAAGAGGTCTCTTCGATGGTGCTCATCAAGATGAAGGAAACCGCCGAAGCCTTCCTTGGACAAACAGTCAAGGATGCCGTCGTCACTGTTCCAGCTTACTTCAATGACTCTCAACGACAGGTAAAGATAATGTTTCTCTATTTATTTATCAAACTTTTAGGCCACCAAGGATGCCGGCGCCATTGCTGGATTGAACGTGCTCCGAATCATCAATGAGCCCACTGCTGCCGCCATCGCTTATGGATTGGACAAGAAGGCCGCTGGCGAGCGAAATGTTCTCATCTTCGATCTTGGAGGCGGTACCTTCGATGTGTCGATCCTTACAATTGAGGACGGAATCTTCGAAGTGAAGTCTACTGCTGGAGACACTCATCTTGGAGGAGAGGTATAATAGTTCTTTTTGGAAATGATAAACATCTTCGTTTTAGGACTTTGACAACCGAATGGTGGATCACTTCATCGCCGAGTTCAAGCGGAAACACAAGAAGGACTTGTCGACAAACCCAAGAGCCCTCCGTCGTCTCCGAACTGCATGCGAGCGATCAAAGAGAACCCTCTCTTCGTCGTCCCAAGCTTCGATCGAGATTGACTCGCTTTTCGAGGGAATTGACTTCTACACCAACATCACTCGTGCCCGCTTTGAAGAGCTCTGCGCTGACCTTTTCCGTTCTACCATGGACCCTGTTGAGAAGGTACTTTCTATTTAGAAGTTAAAAGCAGATCTTAAGCAATTGAAATTACTTTTTTATTTCAGGCTCTCCGTGATGCTAAGATGGACAAGTCATCTGTCCACGACATTGTCTTGGTTGGAGGATCGACTCGTATTCCAAAGGTTCAAAAGCTTCTCTCTGACTTCTTCTCTGGCAAGGAACTCAACAAATCGATCAACCCCGATGAAGCTGTCGCTTATGGAGCTGCTGTTCAGGTAAGGAGAAGTTTCATTATTGCTTTGATTTGGACACTTATCATATCTTAAAACATTTTCTTTAGGCTGCCATTCTTTCCGGAGACAAATCGGAAGTCGTGCAAGAGCTTCTCCTCCTTGACGTTGCCCCTCTCTCTTTGGGAATCGAGACTGCCGGAGGAGTGATGACGGCTCTCATCAAGAGAAATACCACTATTCCAACCAAAACATCGCAAGTCTTCACCACGTATGCGGACAATCAGCCTGGAGTGCTCATTCAGGTGTGTACAAATTGTACTATTGCACTAATTGAAAAGTTTAGGTTTACGAAGGAGAGCGTGCTATGACCAAGGACAACAACTTGCTTGGAAAGTTCGAGCTTTCTGGAATCCCACCTGCACCACGTGGAGTGCCCCAAATCGAGGTCACCTTCGATATCGATGCAAACGGAATTCTCAACGTTTCTGCCACAGACAAGTCAACTGGAAAGGCGAACAAGATCACCATCACAAACGATAAAGGACGCTTGTCGAAGGTTTGGAGATTACTTTATTGGTGTTAGTATACCTTTAGCTTTCTCAACTAATATCAGGGTTAGATAGATACGTACTCGGTCTTAATAGATTTATTATTAACTACTAAAATTTAGGAAGAGATCGATCGGATGGTGGAAGAAGCAGAGAAATACAAGGCCGATGATGAAGCCCAGAAGGATCGCATTGGAGCCAAGAATGGACTTGAGTCGTACGCTTTCAACATCAAGCAAAGCATCGACGATGAGCAGCTCAAAACCAAGATTTCGGCCGAGGATCGTCAGAAGATCGAATCAAAGTGCGATGAGGTCTTGAAATGGCTCGACTCCAACCAAACCGCTGAGAAAGAAGAATTCGAGCATCAGCAAAAGGAACTCGAATCTATCTGCAATCCCATCATGACACGCCTGTATCAACAAGCTGGTGGAGCTCCAGGAGGTATGTGCTTTTATTGATCGAAACGTTATGAGATAAGATTCAAATATGTTGGCGAGTGATTAAATATTTATTGTTTAGGTGCCCCAGGAGGAGCCCCCGGAGCTGCATCTGGAGCTGGAGGACCAACCATTGAAGAGGTCGACTAATTGAGCAGGCTGCATCCAATTTCTCAATTGATCTCATTTAATATTGTTTTTTTCAATATTGTTGATTTTATTGCAAAACAAACTGTGAACCATGGATCTTTTATAGAATTTGTTGTTTACACTTGTTTTGAATAAATTCTGTTCTAAAAAGCTGTACTGTCACTGTCAAAAGTTTGAGAGCATTTCAAGTTAGGTCAGTAAATTTTTCAGATGGATACGAAGGAAATTTTTATGTTGAAACGGGTTCGGTTTTGGTTAGAATCCGCTCAATGAGAGTATTCAATATACTTGCGTAATTGTTTGGCAAGCTTATTGTTAGAATATGCCTTTTTCAGTTCTTTATTCAAGTTTGAAGAGTCATTGATCTTAATGAAGGTTCAGCAAGCAGGAAGATTTGGAGTTTGGTACTCACTCTCAACTTTTTGATCCGCTAAATAATCGACGAGCTCACGATTGCCGACACACCACTAAATTTGTAATTTATCTTCATTGGGCAAGTGTCACAAATCGATATTATTAGAGCAATTTTTAAAAGTAAACGCCTGATCTTTGCTGAAACTGTGCCAAGTGAGGGTGTTTTCATGGATTCGACCAAAGCACTCGACGGACATTTGAGGCTGCTGCCCAGCTTTGAGTGGCCCAAAAACACCACGCCACAGGTCTTCGGCAGGGTATGGGTCTGAAAGGTCTGAGCATGAAAACATTCTCTAATTAAGTTCTTAAATGAGTTTAAATAGCTTTGGATATTACGGCAAGGATTCTAAAGAAATTCTTCTTACTTTCTCCAAAAACAATCCACGAGTCGCCGTGCATAAAATTATCTTTGTTTCTCAAACAATGAGCCATTTCTTCTTCATTTTGTACAAGAATCTGTTCGACCGGCTTCGAGTAACAAGTTAGAGGAAGATGTTGAGCGATAATCCATGTGACATGCATGAAGAAAACTAAACGAACGTTTTCAAGAAGGAAACAAAAATGTTCCCTTCTTGAAAAATCTGCATAGAACTTTTTAACGCTTTACATTATCTGTTCAGACTTTCTTTTCTAACTTACAATCTATGAATTCTTGATCGCCGGTGCCGGTCAATTCAAAGTGGATATCGTCGTTTGCTTCAATAATGCGGAGCTTCATCTGAATTTTGAATTGTTAGCTCATCTTCTTTAGCTCTTTATCTTTATCTCATCATTATTAAACTCATTATGATGACTATCTTCAGTTATGCATTTGGAATAGAAGTCTTCCTAAGCTTTATTACCGTCTCCCCATCATCGGCAGCGATGATGCCAAAAGCGCATACCTGTAATTAAAAATGATTCAATTTCTTGTGTATTGACACTTCTCAATTTTCTCAATGATATCAGAGTGAACTAGGTCGTCACAGATCTCAGCATCACATTGCAGTTGATCTAGTTCTACTTAGTTACCATACTTGTTAAAAAACTGGGTTACTTACTGGGGAACTCAGTTGGACCCACTAACTGTCCATTCCACAGTTAGTAGGTTGAACCTACTAACTGTCGAATGGACATTTTTCCAGATCTAATCTAGTAACAGTCCCAAAATGTAGTTTTAAATCTGCTGAATGGGCATTGTTCCAGATCTAGTCTAGTAACAGACCCAAAATGTAGTTTCAAATCTGCTAGATCTATTGATCTGTTAACAGATTTGAAAGTGATATTCTAGATTTTTGAAGCCAAGAATTGGAGAATTTACCAACACAAAAAGGAGTTGCATCTTTGGTAAAGGAAATGTGAAGACTCCCCGCTTGTCACCTCTATTTATGCGGAGCCAAATTCAATAGCGTTTTGTTGTCCTTTCGCTTTTCTTTTGAATTGGAAATACTCAGAAAGAGTCAAAGGAAAAATTTTGAGTTGATGAAAACATCGCAAAGTAATTTTTGAAAAAAAATTTTGCGATTCTTGAAAATGAGAAATTGCAAGCACTGGCACTGATTGCAAGCTCTGCACACATTAACATACTAGGCAGTTTCGTGAAAGCGTGAAAAAAGAAAAGACAGTCTATACAAAGAGGGACCGTGAAATAAGTGGTTTATTTCTTTCTAAAATATTCCACTTAATAGCTGAATATTCTCAGCTAAATGGGTATAAAAATAAAACGCAACCGATTACCGTAATCTTTAATTGCGCTTTTTGGGGTAGGCTAGTTTCCGCGACTTTTTTTGCGCAACAGGGTTATTTGCGCAACTGGGTCGTTTGCGCAACTCGCCATAACTTTTTTCTAAGTGGACCAATCTTTATGCTTTTGGTGTTATTTTGTTGCACTTATTGAGATCTACAAAATGAAACCAAAAGCATAAAGATTGGTCCACTTAGAAGAAAGTTATGGCGAGTTGCGCAAACGACCCAGTTGCGCAAAAAACATTGCGGAAACTAGCCTACCCCCGCTTTTTTTTGTTTCGGCAAAAAAATGCAACTTTCTCGTCCTTTCTCATGAGCGTGTTTTGGCTCGCCAATATGTCCTTCCTTTAGTCCATATTTTTACATTTGAAGAGTATTTGCCACCAAATCAGTTAAACAGTTGAATATCTTTAAAAGAAATTAGGGGTAGGCTAATTTCCGCCATTTTATTCCATCCTTATTCCATTTCCGAAACGGGGTCATTTGCGCAACTTTAATACTGTATTAACTAGTTTTTTATCATTATTTTCATTGTTTGAGCTTTTTATATTGTTAAAAACCTAGTATTTAAAATACTAGGTTACGGGTAAATAACCCCAGCCGGGTTTTTTCGCCCCTTTTACATAATAACTGTTAATATAAAAATATAAAAATATAAAAACATAGTGTTACCAAGAAAACGTTTTCTTCAAAATCCGACCTCGCTTAATGCCCACCCTTTTAAAGCATTCTCACAATGCGCAAGACTAACTACAAAAAGTTTTAAAGATTTATTCATTTACTCCTTTTTGAATTGACATTTGATTTGATTTGATGCTTTGATTTGATGCTTGTTTTGATGCTTTGATTTGATTTGAGGATTTGGTTTGATGCTTTGATTTGATGCTTTGATTTGATTTGATGCTTCGATTTGATGCTTTGATTTGATGCTTTGATTTGATGCTTTGGTTTGATGCTTTGATTTGATGCTTCGATTTGATGCTTTGATTTGATGCTTTGGTTTGATGCTTTGGTTTGATGCTTTGGTTTGAATTGATGCTTTGATTTGATGCTTTGATTTGATGCTTTGATTTGATGCTTTAATTTGATGCTTTGATTTGATGCTTTGATTTGATTTGATGCTTCGATTTGATGCTTCGATTTGATGCTTTGATTTGATGCTTTGGTTTGATGCTTTGGTTTGATGCTTCGATTTGATGCTTTGATTTGATGCTTTGATTTGATGCTTTGATTTGATGCTTTAATTTGATGCTTTGATTTGATGCTTCGATTTGATGCTTTGATTTGATGCTTTGATTTGATGCTTTGGTTTGATGCTTTGATTTGATTTCATGCCTTAGTGAGCATTAACACTCAAAAGATCCCCCTTTTCTCTAAAATTTCTCTCAAAATCTTTTTTCTTGTCTATCTCATCCCTTTTCACTATTTTTTTTCTGTAAATACCATCGATTTCACTTAAAATTCTTTGCAATTCGTCTCTTTACTCATCAAAAAACAAAAGTTTCATCATAAATTACAGTTGAGTGTTCTTTGGAATATAATCTTTGCTTTTTTCTTCCATTGCATCATTATCAGTGCCCAGATAAAAGAGCGGTGGCTAGTGAATTGACTCATTTATTGACAATAACAATGTTCACTAATGGTTTTTTTTATTTGTTTTTCTCTAGGCTGACTTCCTCTGCTTTTCAAGAAACTTTTTGACATCTTTTAACACAAAAATTTGCTATAAATTAAGTAGAATATCATATTTATTTTAGCATTGACTATTTGTTTACGAGAGCTTTTGAAATGAGCACTTTTACTTGTTTCTTGTTTGTTTTGTTATTGTTTGTTTTGTTACTTGTCTCTAACTCGCTATTGATGATTTTAGCCGCATTTTTAGTCAATAAAATAATGTTATTTCCATTTTTCTGACAAATATCTATACTTTTAAGACACCAGAAATCAGTAAAATGAATTTTCCTTCAAAATTTCTTCTTATGCATGTTTAAATCTTTTTTTCCTTTGTTTTAGAAGGTATCCTTTCTATTTGAATAGATTTCAGATCCTAAAACTTTAAATTTTCTATTCAAACTGCAATTTTCAACAAGTAACTATACTTATGGGACAGAGTGTATGTAGTTGTTTTGTTTTATGACTCTGTTGGCATTATATTGGATTGGTGAATTGAAAACTGCGGGCTATTGTCATATGTGGCAGTTTGAGCACTTTCTTCAAAAGAAACCCATTTTGGTGTCAATGGAAAAGTTGTAGAGAATCAAAAATCAAGTTTATATCCAAATTTTCAGAACGATTCAAAAACTGGTTTTCAAGAAATGCCAAATTTACGAATTTTGACAAAACTTGCAACAAAACTTGCATTTTAAGCGAAACTACTACGTGTATCTTTTTGGAAATTTGGCTATACGCCTAATTTTTGATTCTCTACAACTTTTCTATTGACACCAAAATGGGTTTCTTTTGAAGAAAGGCTCAAACTGGGCTGACAGCTGGCATCTCCAGTCCTCCACTTTTGAGTCTCACACTTGTCTCACACACAAACCAAAATCCTACTACGAAAGAGGAATCCGTAAATTGCCTGTAAAATGGGCAGAAGTCGTCAATAATAATGGAAATTATTTGGAATGAAATCATGGTTTTATGTTGAATAAATTTTAGTTCAAAGTCCGGCAGTTTTCAATTTGGTTTGTGTGTGAGACAAGTGTGAGACCAAAAATGGAGGACTGGAGATGTCCCAGTTTGAGCACTTTCTTCAAAAGAAACCCATTTTGGTGTTAATAGAAAATTGTAGAGAATCAAAAATCAGGGTTATAGCCAAATTTCCAAAAAGATACACTTGGTAGTTTCGCTTAAAATGCAAGTTTTGTTGCAAGTTTTGTCAAAATTCGTAAATTTCGCATTTCGTAAAAAACAGTTTTTGAATCGTTCTGAAAATTTGGATATAAGCTTGATTTTTGATTCTCTACAACTTTTCCATTGACACCAAAATGGGTTTCTTTTGAAGAAAGTGCTCAAACTGGGACATCTCCAGTCCTCCATTTTTGGTCTCACACTTGTCTCACGCACAAACCAAAATCCTACTACGAAAGAGGAATCCGCAAATTGCCTGTTAAATGGGCAGAAGTCGTCAATAATAATGGAAATTATTTCGAATGAATTCATGGTTTCATATTGAATAGATTTTAGTTCAAAGTCCCGCGGTTTTTTTCAATTCACCAACCTAGTAGTAAATTAGATTTTTTGTTTTTCTAATCACCATTTCAATTCAAAAGTTTTCCTTTAATCAAACATATTCTTTAAAGCAACGAATTCCGAGTTTAAGAAAAACCTGACGAAGAAATGTTTCTTCTCATTATCGGCTCATTCTTGTCCATTTTGGTGGCCTCTTATCTTTGGTGGGCCTATCGAAGGGGATTTTATTGGGAAGAAATGGGCATCCCACACATCAAATCGACTCCATTTTTGGGGAATATTTGGAGGGTTGGCGATATAAATAAGCCATGGATACCGACACTGATGCTATATACAAAGGTGAGTAGCCATTAGTCGCTCCGGTTTGATAGCAATTTGCACAAAGCTGATAGCAACTCTGCTATCAGCTTTTCAAATTTCAGTCATATGGTACCAGATTTCGGATCGAAAACCCAGTTTTTCGGTCCGCTTTCCGTCTGAACATTTCTACAAACTGAGCCTAGTTGCCTAAGAGTACAATTTCAGAAATTTGGCAAGGTCTGGGGCTACCAGGAGGGCCCCACAAACGTGTTGGTGATCTCGGATCTGAAAGACGTCAAAGAGCTCCTACACTCGAGATTTGACGATTTCCAGCAGAGAAAAGTTTATTTTTTTGACTTGGAGACTTTTTGACTCGCTCTTTCAAGCCATTTTTAAATGGCTTGAAAGAGCGAGCATGCTTTTGAATGCTTTACGCAATAAGCACAAACAATTACACAAAACATACAAACAATAAAAAGAAACACAAAAATTTAGCCCTTAACACCTTTGTTTCAACCAGAGGCCGATGATCCTCAATCACATTTGGCCGATTCATGGGGTGCTCGATGGAAACGTCTGAGGGCTCTCGTCTCTCCTCAGTTCTCTAATAATAGTCTCAAAAAGGTCATCTTTTTTTTTGCAAAGCGAAAAAGTCCTTTTGATTTGGCTTTTAAAAATGAGTTGATTTTTGATTTTGCGGGCAAATGGCAAAGGTTTTCCCCACAGTCAGCAAATGTCCGGGCAATAATTCAATAATGTTTTCAACATTTCAGCAGCATTTGAGCAAAAACATTTGCCTAAATGCCTAATTCAACGAACACAATTAAATTTGTCAGGTTTCCCCCACGGTCAGCGATTCGGCAGCACATTTGGTTGAACATATTGGAAAAAATGCAGGAAAAGCTTCGATTGATATACACACGTGAGAAAGAAATGTCTTAAATGTCTTAAAATGTCTTAAAAATATTATGCGAAATTGTATGTGGAACTAGCTACTCTTTTTCATACTGGGAAACGAAAAAACAAATGATTTTGGATCGAACTTATGACTTTACGACTAGAAAACAGCACTTCTATGAGTCATTTTTTCAGTTATTATCAAGAATATACAATCGATGTGATTTCGAGAATTGCGATGGGACAAAAGGAATCACGACAATGGAGAAGTGACCTCTCGGAGACGCTGAAATTTGTTCGTTTTTAAGGTCAACTTATTATTATTATACGGTACCAATACGGTTCCAATACGGTTCCTATTTTGATCTAATACGGTTCCAATACGGTTCCTATTTTGATCTAGTACGGTTCTAATACGGTTCCAATACGGTTCCTATTTTGATCTAATACGGTTCCAATACGGTTCCAATACGGTTCCAATACGGTTCCAATACGGTTCCTATTTTGATCTAATACGGTTCCAATACGGTTCCTATTTTGATCTAATATGGTTTTTGTTGTCTTTTAGCTGAAATAACAAATAAGCCAAGTGTTTTTTTCGCAAAGAATTTCAACAGAAAAACTTTAAGACAGTCGGCCGAGATCCCCGCGATGTATTCTTTATTATAGCTACAGTGATTCCAAGCTTGAAAAAGGTTAGTTTACTCTTGAAATGGTTAAAAGAAAAATTACCAATCTTTATATAAAAGAAAGAAAGATTGAATAATAAATAAATCAGAATCTTAATCAAAACTTTGTCAGTATCTACGCGCATTTTTCATCGCCTTATCTCGATTCTTTAAATTGCCCACTGTGGAATTGTTGACAACAATCGAGAAAGCTGTGGCGGAACGAAAAATTCAGAGGGTAAGTTGGTTTGTAAAACTTATGAATTAAAAGACTTTAGGCAAAGGGTGAGCTGTGCTCGAAAGAAAAGGAATTGGTCGATTTCATTGATCTTTTCTTGGATGCTGAGGCTGAGGTTGATCTGAAAGCAGAAGAGGGAATATCTGGCAGGAATGCACATGTGAGCATTTATATGAATGAAGCATGAATACAAGAATACAAGAGAAATCGATTTCGATAAGTTTACCTTTTCGACATTTGATTAGATAATTCGTCGAATGTTGGAAGAGGAGGTTGTCATGCAATGTTTCGTCTTTCTCTTGGCCGGCTTTGATACAACATCGAGTGCTCTCTCATATTCGACTTGGTATCTCGCAAAGCATCCACAAGTCAGTTCATTTTATTTGGATTAGAAAATTAGAGCCAAATTTAGAAAGATTTTCCAAAAGCTTAAACACTTTTATCAAATAACGAAAAGAATCCTCGATTCTTAGGGTTATAGCTTTTGGTGCTCTTGTCCAAATTAGTTATATTTAGTACCAATCGACTCGTTTCTTTATTCTCTATTCATTTATTTATAAGATAGCCATTTCGGAAAAGTGTATGCTAAAAATCTTGCAGATTCAACGCCGTCTCCAAGAAGAAATCGATCAAGTTTATGGGGAAGAGGTAAACTTGATAGATTCAAAAGAGTCAATAGTAATCCCGTTGCTATTGGGTTGGTGAATTGAAAACTGCGGGCTATTGTCAGATGTGACAGTTTGAGCACTTTCTTCAAAAGAAACCCATTTTAGTGTCAATGGAAAAGTTGTAGAGAATCAAAAATCAGGCTTATAGCCAAATTTCCAAAAAGATTTTTCTTTTAAAGCTTAATTTTTGCGCAACGTCGCATTCCAATTGACGTCGCTGCCATTTGGAGGTAGTCGATGGGCGCGCCGCGTCGTCGTTTCTTTTTTGTTTTCAAATCATTTGCTTTGTCAGATTCGATTGAAAGTATTGTTTTACTTGTTTTTTTGTTGTTTTATTGAGAAATTTTGTGTTAAAATGAGAAAGCAATCAATTTCTAGCAATCAAAACAAGCAATCAAAACAACAAAAAAACAAGTAAAACAATACTTTCAATCGAATCTGACAAAGCAAATGATTTGAAAACAAAAAAGAAACGACGACGCGGCGCTCCCATCAACTACCTCCAAATGGCGGCGACGTCAATTGGAATGCGACGTTGCGCAAAAATTAAGCTTTAAAAGAAAAATCTTTTTGGAAATTTGGCTATAAGCCTGATTTTTGATTCTCTACAACTTTTCCATTGACACTAAAATGGGTTTCTTTTGAAGAAAGTGCTCAAACTGTCACATCTGACAATAGCCCGCAGTTTTCAATTCACCAACCCAATAGAATCCTCATAAATATTATCATTAAACTTGACGGACATATGCAATTAAATATAATATCCTATACCTTATACTCTTATCTGTCTATTATGTTTTGTTTAAAAGTTATTTTATCATACTTTTAAGCTTAAATTTAGTTTTCAATTTGGTTTGGTTTTTCTTGTTTATTGATACGTTTCTGATCGCATTTTAACTTGAATAGTTGTTCTTATTATTGAAAAAGTAAAACAAATAGACAAAGTGTGCAAGTAAAAACATTTCTCAAAGTTTTAGGAAATCTCCTATGATGGTCTTGGTGAACTGAAGTATATGGATTGTGTGCTGAAGGAGACTCTCCGACTCAATCCATTGGGCACAGTGTTTGTGTTTCAATGTTTCATTTCAAGAATTGGTAACAAGATTATTTAAATGAAAAAGTTTTTAAGAAAGGCCTAGCTTAGCTTAGAACTTATTTTTTAGAAAATCAACCGATTCTATTCTCGAAAAATTAATGAATTTATTTGTTTTGTCTTAGGGAAAATATGAAATGTCCGTTTTTATTTTTGCACATTTTGTAAGGCCGATATCTCTACGAAAATTCAACCAATTTTTATGCTCTTTTTTTTGTTTTATAGCCAAGACATGAATCTACAACTTTTATTGTAAATATTTCAAACGAAAATCAAAATTAAAAATTTTAGAAGCTCAACAAAAAAAATTGTCGTTTTTTCGAAAAAATTGTCTTCTTTTGTTGAGCTTCTAAAATTTTTAGTTTTCATTTTTGTTTGAAATTTTTACAATAAAAGATGTAGATACATGTCTTGGCTATAAAACAAAAAAAAGAGCAGAAAATTTGGTTGAATTTTAGCAGAGATATGGCGTTACAAAATGTGCAAAAATAAAAACGAATAAAAAATTTCATACTTTCTCTTCCGATAAAAGAAAAAACAAAAAAAAGCCATTCATTTTTAGAGATCAGAATCGGTTGATTTTCTGAAAAATAAGATTTAAGCCAATCTTTTTCATTTAAATAATCAACCTTGTGACCAATTCTTGCTTGAGAAAGCTTCGAATCAGAAAATTGAAAGAATTTTGACATTATTAAAAGTTGATATTTTTTGAAATGTAAAACCATCCGACTTTAGCTAAATGTTTTAGGGTGGTGAGTCGAGTAGCTGGACAAGATCTGGAACTGGCCGGGGTTCAACTTAAAAAAGGAGATCAAATACAAGTAGGTCAAGGTGGTAGAAATCGAATAGAGTTTGGAAGATGAAAAACTTAGAAAACTTAGAAATTGTAGACTAGACGATTCAATTTAGCAAGACAAAAAGTATCGATACAACTAGCCGTAAAATTACGGTGTATCGTCGAGTAGCCTCTGGTTAACTCGGGTTAACTCTTGGAAAACTTATAAGCTTTCATTCCAATACGATTTTTGACAATACGGCTCATAGAAGTTCGAGAAAATTCCATATTCTTTGCCATCCTGGCCTACAAACGAGTGGCTTTCAAGAACGAGAACAAGAACGAGAACAAGAACGAAAACAAGAACGAGAACGTTTCAAGAACGAGAACGAGAACGAGAACGAGAACAAGAACGAGAACGTTTCAAGAACGAGAACGAGAACAAGAACGAGAACGTTTCAAGAACGAGAACGAGAACGAGAACAAGAACGAGAACAAGAACGAGAACAAGAACGAGAACGTTTCAAGAACGAGAACGAGAACAAGAACGAGAACGAGAACAAGAACGAGAACAAGAACGAGAACGAGAACGAGAACGAGAACAAGAACGAGAACGAGAACGAGAACGAGAACAAGAACGAGAACGAGAACGAGAACAAGAACGAGAACGAGAACGAGAACAAGAACGAGAACGAGAACGAGAACAAGAACGAGAACGAGAACGAGAACAAGAACGAGAACGTTTCAAGAACGAGAACGAGAACGAGAACGAGAACGAGAACAAGAACGAGAACGAGAACGAGAATGAGAACAAGAACGAGAACAAGAACGAGAACGAGTGGCCTTCAAGCGTAGCTGATCTCGAACCTTCTTGATATTAGCCTTGGTGACAATGGTCGCTTTACCACCACGTTCGTGGATCAGAATTTGTTCCTAACTCTTGAAAGCGTTGGATCGCGTTGTAAACAAGTTTACGTATCATTAATCGTTTGCGTATCATCAATCGAGATAGAGATAGATAGAAAATTGCCAGAACGTCACGCTTGTGTGGGTCGATTATCGCATCTCGGTACACTGACTGGCCATCCTAAAAAGAGGATTTTTTGAGAACAAATAGTAATTAAATAGTAAAATAAATAAAATAAACAAAGTCAAAAAGAATATATAAATTGTAAGCAAACATATACAATATAAAAGATATCCCTAGTCCTCGTAATCCTGTTTTTGTAAGCCTTATCGGTGAATTCTCATTTCATAAAAACTTCTCAAAATTTCTCAAAAACATTTTCAGGTCGACGCCTACTCACTTCAGCGAGACAAAGAGATTTGGGGCGATGATGCTGAAGAGTTCAATCCGGATAGGTGATCTTTAAGCAAACAAATGCTATTAGGTTTTTCGGATATAAACAAGCGTTGCTAAACTTATTGTTGTGAGAGAAGCTTTTAAAACATGTCTTTCTGTGGTTAAAAGTACGTTATCTTGTGCATATTTGGAATCTTTTTAAACGGATAATTTCTTATTTTTAAGATCTTTTTTCTTGCTTTAGATGACCGACTTAAATGCTTTAGATGACCGACTATCAAGTTTGCGTTCGCCTACTTTACGACTTCAAACTGGGCAAAACAGTCGCGGAATCCCATTGAGATTTGGTCAAAGCATTTGGGAATGATGTATTGTCCGAGAGCCGATGCCGAGCCTGGTTCCAACGCTTTCGGAATGGTGATGAAAGTCTCGAGGATGATGAACACTCTCGTCAAGAATATCGTTGTCTACCTCAAGCGGTTGACAACAATATTTTGATGGCTGCAATCAAATAAGATCCATGTCAAACGATGCGTAAACTTGCTCAACAGTTTCTATGTTCAAATTCTACTCCATCTCCACGCCATTGAAAAGACGATCTGATGCGGGAAATGGTCACGAAATGGTCAAAAAATCCTCACGAGTTAAGCAGTGCAAACGCTCGTTTATATCCGAACAACCTAATATCTTTATTGTAATATTTTAATGTATTATGTTATTACTAGAATGTTTCAAAAATAATCGATCTTTTAATTCAGATGGCTCAATCTTACTGTTGAGCAAAAAGAGGCCGATCTTTCGTTCGGCGCCGGGCCTCGACAATGTGTGGGTGAGTGATTTGTTTGAGAGCAATGTTTTTATGGCCACATCGTAACAACATGCAATTTCTACAAAACCCAACAATTTAAAACATGTTATTATTTTAGAAAACTATTAAACCTTGTGCATAATAGTGGTGAAAATTTCATGAAAAGTGTGTGTTTTTAAGAGAAATGTATTTCAAAAATGAATGTAAATGTGATGAAAGATCGATAAGTACCAAAAGAACTTATCACTATCAACTTACTTATCAATTACTTATCAATTACTTATCAACTTACATCAAAATTCCCTAGGTATGCGACTTGCTAATATCGAGCAAAAAGTCGCTTTTGCAAGGATCCTTCAAGAATACGATTTTGTTTCGGGGCCAAACACCGAGGTTTGAAACAGCTCGAAACATTTTTACTCATTTAAAAACAAACTTTTTTTTAATGTTATTTATGAACTAATATCTTTCACTTTTACTTAAAAAAATAACTAAACTCATAAATTCTAGAAAGAACTTGACCTGGCTGGGTGGATAACCGTCTCACCAAAAAGCGTCACTGTTGATATAAGGAAGCGAAAGAAATAATTTCTTCTTCTTAAATGACTTTTTATGATTTTCCCCCTTTTCTATGTATTTTCTATCAAATTAAACAATGAAGTTGTCATTGATTAGAAGATAAATAAATTTCTACTCATTTTGGGGGTGGGACAAATGCGACCTTTTTTTTGCGCACCTGGACATTTGCGCACCTTTTTTTGCTGGAAAAGGCCTTAGGCAAGGCCGTAGAGCTTCGAAAATATTTCCATATGAGAGAATCGTATGCTTAGATTCCGAATTTCGACAAATCAGACCTCGCTGACACGTCAAATTTGGGCTAAAAGGCAAAAACCGCGGAAAAGCGTTAAGTTGCGTAGTTTTTGCCTTTTAGCCCAAATTTGACGTGTCAGCGAGGTCTGATTTGTCGAAATTCGGAATCTACGCATACGATTCCCTTCTATGAAAACATTTTTGAAGCTCTACGACCTTTTCTAAGGCCTTTTCCAGCAAAAAAAAGGTGCGCAAATGTCCAGGTGCGCATGAAAAAAAGGTCGCATTTGTCCCACCCCCGAAAGTTGCATTTTTTCCCCCTTTTCTATGTATTTTCTATCAAATTAAACAATGAAGTTGCCATTGATTAGAAGACAAATAAATTTCGACTCATTTTTTAGTTTATTTCACTTGTTTAGTTATTTTTTTTTGTTCAATTCGTTCAGTGGCGATAAAATTATGACCAATTGCCAAAAAAATTTTTGTCATAAACGTTAATTTTCAAAATTTAATTCACTAACTGTTTAGTTTTCAACCATGATTATTTCTATTTTTGATCAGAAATGTTCAGAGTGTTACTGAGTCGTAGTTAAGAGACGGGTACTATTAAAGTAGGGGGACCCCACTTTTCTTTTCAAAACCACTTTTTCTGAGATAGTTTTATACGTAGATCCGAGAAACACAGAAAGCTTGGCAAAAAGGCCGCGTTTTAAGCCGAGCTTCAGGGCTCGGAAACTCAGCTTAAAACCCCTTTCCCCAAGGTCTCGTTGTGTTTTTTTGGAATCTACACATAAAGCTACCCCGGAAAAAGTGGGGTCCCCCAACTTTAATAGTACCAAAAGACCTTTAAACAAGTCCTTTAAATGCCAAAAAAAAGGCAAAAATTCGAGTGGCTGTAAAATTATCTCCAGCTTGTATATACCAGTCATCAACAGCGTCCCTTTCTGATTAGACGTAACTAAAAAATAAAAATAAGCTTTTTGAAAGACACCTAACTTAACAAATTGCAATTGAAAACAAACAAAGGAATACCTGTAATAGTTTTCCCTTTGAATTTCCCCGATAAAAGTGATATTCAAATCCAGTCGCATCATATAAAACCTTCATGCGAGGGGAGTGGGACAAATGCGACCTTTTTTTCCGCACCTTGCCCATTAGCGCACCTTTTTTCGCGTTTTAAAAAAGCTCTAAAAAGCTAATATTAACCAATTTCTATTCCAAAAGTTGTTTTTCTAGGTAATTTGAGGGTGTCGAATTCAAATTTTTACATAACAGAGCGTGTGGAACCAATTTGAAAGACAAAACGGCTAGATCAACTTACAGAAAATTGCACAGAAAGAAAATTGTGTTTTCTCTTTGTATAACTCCGTCCGTTTGTTTCCACAAGCTCTGATATGTCAAAATTTCGATTCTACGCTCTAAAATTACCTAGAAAAACAAATTTTGGAATAGAAATTGGTTAATATTAGCTTTTTAGAGCTTTTTTAAAACGCGAAAAAAGGTGCGCTAATGGGCAAGGTGCGGAAAAAAAGGTGCGCAAATGTCCGGGTGCGCAAAAAAAAGGTCGCATTTGTCCCACTCCCCATGCGAGCGAGGTGCTTATGAAAGAGCCCAAAAAGAAAAAATAATTACGATTAAAAGCAATTTAAAACATTTGACCGCTTTCTCTGGTCTTTCTAACTAACGAACTAATAACTTTCTCGTCATTTCTCACGAGCGGCTGACGCGTTTTGATTCACCAATGTGCCTTCCTTTATTCCATTGTGTTGCTCTTATTTTGACTTGTTTATTGATAAAGTTTGCGTCAAATAGAAACGATTGAATGTGTATAGAGTAATCGACCCTTACTATTAGCATCTAAACTAGCTGATAAGTTCATTTTGTAATTTTGTACTTGTTTAATATCGACCATTATAATAGGGTAGTTTTTTGAACAGCCATATCAGCTAGCTTTTATGTATCCACTGTACGACAAACGCTTGCATTTTCCCCCGTTTTTACACATGCAGTACCACATATTTTTTTCTTTAGATGAGCCTGGTTAAAGAGAACGGCGGCGGCGACTCGGATCCGGAAGCTCGACAACCCAATTCTTACGAAAGCGAAGAGGAAATCGACGACGAGGAAGAGGAAATCGACGACGAGGAAGGGGAAATCGACGACAAGGAAGAGCAAGAGAACGACGAAAATAACGAGTCTAAAAGGAGAGAGGTCCGGACTTTTTATGGTTTGTAAAGGTGTCTTTTTTAGATTTCCTTTGACAAAAATCCCACGATGGTGTCAAAATATCTCCGTGAAGAGGTTGTTCCGAAATTTCGCAAATTGATCGAAGAGATCGGCGAAGAAGAGAAGTGCAAAGGGCTTTTGATCGAGCCACCATTCAAAACTGGCGACATCTTTCTGGAAAAATATAAGTTTTGGCACAATATGCTAACTTTTAAAAAGATTGTTTTAGGTGATCGACTTTCTGCGAAAGAAAGATGATCAAAGTGTTTACGTGGTGCAAACCAAGAAAGGAATCAAAGTAGATGACGATTGTTTTTTTAATAATGTATTGGTGCTTAGTATGAACTACATGTCGAGATGTTCCAAAGTTTGGTCACTTCAGTCAGTAGAGAACAAGCCTTCTTGGTTTCGGTAAGTTTTTTTAAAATTTAGCATACAACTTATAATTATCTTTTAGGCGATGAAAAAGAGCTGCGTTGAATATTTTGGTGGACGAATCGTCGACGTTGGCATGCAAGATATCCGTAAACAATTTTTGCGCTACTACGTGCAGAAGGTGATTTCTTTTGTTTCTTGTTGTTGTACGAGTTTTTCTTTAGAAGAACGAAACCTCGGTAGACCTGGATACAATGCTGCACATGCTTGTGGACCGCGGTGGAACTCCGGACATCGGATTTGTTAAATGGGTCCTATCCGAAATCGTTAAAGTTGGCTTCAAATTTGTTTCTTTAAATCTAATAAATTCAGGTGTTGACGTACGCTTATCACTGTGGTTGCGTTGTCGAGAATTTAGAAGTGACGATGTTTGCCTATGATCCGGTTAGAAAAGTGTTGCGCTTAAAGGATTTATCATCGATTGCCACAAAAGGATTCGTATTTCCAGCTTCAGAAGTAAATTTTTGTTCCTTTTTTAATTCAAAATATTTTAGCCAACAAACCGCGTGAGGACGAAAGAAGAGCAATTTGAACAAGGTTTGGCACATTGTCCTACATTGAATCTTTTTTGGGTACTACTCGATTGCACACGCTGCTTTTTGACATTTTAAAAAAGGTCACGTCTATGACACAAAAAAGTCTCAAAGATTTAAAACTCCAATAGTTGATTTGTCGGAAAGATCAAGTTGTTTTGGGTGGGATTATTAGAGCCATTTTGTTGAGAATCACGTAGAAAGCGTCTCCTTTGCCGACCAAACGACGGAAGACGATCTCCGTGAGATAGCTATCGAGATGGGCGCGGAGAGTTTCTCGCTGAACTTTGTTGCACCACTTGGTTGAGCCCCGCAAACCCTCTATTTGTTGGGTGTTAGCTTTCAATAAAATTAAATGTTAATCTAGGTTGCTAAGTAAGTTGGAAGAAAACCTGTGTAATCAATGCAATTGTTTACTAATTAAATTTGCATAAAAATGGGCTAGATAATCGAATAGCAGCTTTTTTGTTTAGGCTTTGTACAATTGTATGTCAACTCTGTAAGATTGGTGTGGCAAGAAATGTTTCGGCTGGCTAATGGCTACAATGTCAGCTCGGATATTATTGGGAGGGTTTGTTTTTTCATTCAAATAAAATTTAAAAATCGGTCTGAAACTTAAATGATTCTTTTAGACCTTCAAAGCCGTCGATAAAATGGTCAAGCAAAACCTCAAGCAAGTGGATGACCTCCGCGTAATGGATCCTAAAGTTGCTGAAATTATGCACCCATGGTTTGTGAAAGACACTTTAATATCTTGTATAACCAAACTTTAGGTTGTTTCAAATACTCGTCGTTATTCAGAAAGCCACATCGAGCGTAGAGGTGGGTTTTCTGTTTATGCAGGGGTAATTGCAATTTTGGACCATGAAACCGGCAGTCTTCAAATTGTGGCAATCCGGCCTCCAGAAGCTCATCAATAACATGAGTGGCGTCACGCAAAGAGCTTTATTTGACATCCTCAAGCCGATTTTTACTGTAAGTTTTTCAAATGGATTATAAAACTTAATAAATCGAGCTCTAGTCAAGTTTTACTTTTAGGAAGTCGGTTTAGCCGAATCAATTGATGCAGCGGAAAAGACGAATTTGGACGAGGCAATGGAAAGGGCAAGAGACGAGCAAATGAGAACTGCACAATTGGAATCGATCGACGAGCATCGCAAAAAGTCACCGTGCTTATTCCAATTGAAGAACCCTCGCTATTAGAAGCGCCCCTTTAGACGAAATTTTTCATTTTTTCGGATTGATCAACTCTCGGATAGCAAAATGCTCAACTTTAAAAAGACTTTCAAAGTCTTTAAATAATATTTATAAACTAAAAAAGCTTAATGACGTCGAAAACCGGATGAAACCCCAACAAAAACACCCATTTTTGAGCTCTTGAAAATTTGAGTATGGCTAGAGCAGGAAAAAGAATTTGAGAGAGATATGGAAAAATAGAAGAGCCGGCTCTTCTATTAGAATTTTTTCGGTAGTTTTAGGACTTGATTTAAATTATTGAGTACATGAAGCCTATATAACAGTTTACCTTTAGATGTTTGATGCATGAGTATGGTAACCGCTTGAAGAGACTGAGCGAAAACAATCGACTCAGCGACGAGTACATGGAGAAAGCAAAGGCCGATAGAGGACCCTTCGATGTGCCACTTGAGGTAGTAATTTGTGTTTGAGACTTAAATTTTTTTATTAGAAACTTTCGATTGCCGAAGCAAAACATCCCTACTTCACTTATGCATCTCAAGAAAAAAAGAAAAGCAAGGTATGGTTTCATTTAGAGCTAAAAATGTTTCTTTCTAAAGGAAGTTCTTGATCTCGTTTTATTTTAGAAAAAACACGTCGATGATACTAAATCAGAAGAGAAAATGGAGGAAAGCGACGAAGACGCTTACGAAGACGAAGACGTTTACGAAGTCGAAGACGACAATAGTTTCGAGACTGAGTCTGACCTTGATGAGCCAGCAACGAAAATTAAAAGCTAAGTAATTTACATTGTGATTTTCTTTGTTACTTAAAATGTATAGTATTCGTGTTGTTGTTATCTAAGCTTTATAGTTATGTTTTGTTATACTACTACCTTGTTGAAATAAACTTCTAAAAAAGCTTTTTAGAGCAATGAGTCGAGATTCAATTTAGCACAAAACCAAGTTCAGCGCACTTATAAACTTGATAGCTAGCTTTATTCGGACTGATTGCTGCTTGTTTAACTGCTACTTCGAATATTCATAGGGATTCAATTATTTTCCTCAAGCTCGTCGTTGTCCGTTGATGTAAACTTCAATGCCAGCGGTGCGAGTCATGTCGATAAGACGAACCTCGAAGGGGCCCCACTAAATTAGAAGACTTTAAAGAAGATTGCGTGCTACTGGAATTTGAGATGTACTATTAGAAGCGTACTTGTTTACTAAATTGGCTTTCAAACGAGTGTTTTCAACTAAAAGCAGTTACAGTGAAATTTCATTAGTAAACTGAAGAAATCATGAAAGTTAACCTGCTCACTACGACTTTTTTCATTGCTCAACTCACTTTCGCCTCTGGGATCGTGTGCCAGATGAGTTCGCTTTTACCATTGTTGTTAGTCATTCCAATACACTCGATATTGTACTCCGTGACGGACTCCCTATTGTGCAATGGGATGAACACTGCTCGGAAAAGGTCGTCCATTGTGGGGGATGGTTCTGAAATTTATACCTTAAGCAGGAGCTTTGGACTGGTCAAGTAGCTGAACAAGCTCGAAACCTGGACTTGGTTTTGAGCTGACCTAGCTTGACCAGAAATGAACAGAAGCCGTTTCTTTGAGGCTCAAGTTTGGAGCTTTAGAACAAGTATTATCCTTTCAGGGCCTTTCAAATCTGATTCAAATTATCCGACCATACGAGTATCAAGCGATCTTGCGTTCGTCGAAGCAATGCCATCATCGAAGCAATGCCATCGTCGTCAAATGATGAGTGCGCTAGGCTCTCAACTTTAGGCTCAATATTTCTTTACAATATTTGGCAACTTTTGGCTCAATATTTCTTTACAAATCTATTCAATCATTCAAATTACAAAGAAATATTCTTTTTATGAAATAAAAATCTCCAAAATCCTCTTTTTATAACAATTTTATTCAAAGTTTCATTCAAATCAAATATCAAAAATACATTAAATCACAAAAACCTCAAGATTCCTAGCGTTGAATTTTTGTGGGTAAACGGTAAATTCATTGGGATAAACTTTAGCTCATACTGCGGTAAATAAGTGATAAGAAGGATTAACATTAAGGCAATGAATTCTTGATGACTTAGCTCCTGCAAATAGTGGAAGAGGAGCATATGTGATGAGTGCAGAGGTTGAAGTGTCTGGAAATGAGAGTATTCAAATTTTATATAGACTTTAGATCATTTTAGCTTAGTACTAAGGATTTGTAGTTGAAAATGAGTCTTTTTGTTTAATTTTACAAGTCTTAAGATAAAATAAGGTTGTTAATAGTACTAGTACACACAAAAAAGTACTCTAGCTTCTTGTTGACTCAAAAACATTGACAAATATGTAAGAGGAAATAAATATTAAAAGGTTTAAAAGCTCTGCATCCTTCCAATTATCAGCTTGTTCAGAAAATCTTTTCTTTCCTTTTCATACTTTCGTTTAAAACCAAAAAAAGGCACCAATTGGACGACGGTTTGTTTTATTTTATGTTTTTATTAGAAAGGCCAATGATTTCTCTGCAAAATAGCATTAAAACTGGTTTAAAAAAAGCTAGGCCATTGACTAAATCTAAACCTAAAAACGAAACTTTCGATTCAATTCCATTTTCAAAACCAATAAACCATTTCAAATTTGATTTGTAAGTGTTAGCACAGAGGTGATGTCAGTGTTCATTTCAACGATCACCGACAAGCCATTCACTTGTGCTTTTCATTTCCCCAATCACCAATATCCCAAAATCCATGAGTCAAGTAATGATCTGCCAGCGGATGACCGAATGGTCTATTCTGGACAAAACAAAACGAGGATCAGAGTGTCTGTGAAAAGAAATCCTACGAACCCGACAACGGACTTTTTTCCCGTAGAAACATCGCCTAACGGTGGCGATTTTTGGCTTAGGCTTTGAGGACACAGATTGATTGGTGATTGGGGTTGGGTGTTTGGGAAATGGAAATGGTTCGAGTTTGGTTTAAAAGATCTTTAAAACAAACAATATCCTTTGTAAACGTATCCTTTCTGGTGCACTGAAATTTTCATTGATGTCACCTGCTTTATGCTTTAGAAAAATGAAGAAAGGATTCGTTTTCATTTTTCATTTCAAACTACTAGTAAGGTTTTAAACTGGCTACTTCTCTAAAAGTACTAATTAAAGTATTAATACTAATATGAATCTGTAAACGCAAGCTTTCTGGTGCACTGAATTCTCCATTTCTCTAACGATATAAAGTTATTGTTGCAAAAAAAAGTGCATAAGAAAAGGTTTTTCGAGTACAAAGTACTGGCTATTGAAAAAAACTAAAACTTACAATACTTAAAAGATCAAAAATCTTTTAACTATTGTAAAATCAAGTAAAGATCTTAACAGAACAAATAAAAGTTAAAAACTGACCTTAAATTTGAAGTTTTGTATCCATCCAGTTGATCCAAGAATTCACGATCAAATTCAAGAATAAATGAAGAAAATAAAGAGATAAAGAAAAGAAATCAAGAATAAATGAAGAAAATAAAGAGATAAAGAAAAGAAATCAAGAATAAATCAAGAAAATAAAGAGATTAAGAAAAGAAAATGAAGAAAATGAATGAAGAAAATGAAGAGAATAAAGCAAATTATTAAAGAGAATAGAAAAAAACTGAAGAACTGATTTAATCAAACAAAATGTTTCTCTATTTATATAGGCTGAGAAATTATCGTTTCATCCCACAAGCAATGCTTGATAATTTCCAATAGAATTGTTCAAGAATTGATCCGACTTATTGCGATTTGGCAATCTTTATCGATAGCTTTTCTTAAGCAGATGTGAGTCAATTTCTTGTGCTTTAATTGCAAGTAATTTTGAGAATCGATCAATCAATCAATCGATCAACTTGCAATGCAATATTTTGTATTGGGTTGGGGACTATGACTCGGCGCCGAAAATCAAAAAAATGTCTAAAACTTCTATTCGACTTCGTCAAATAATATGCGTTTGATATGAGTAGAATGGTTAACTAATTCTCTACAAAATCACATTTAAAAGAAAATTCAAACAGCGCCTCCGCTCAAGAAAAAGCCATTTTTTCACAAAAACTACAAACTGTCATCTAGAGTAAACGGTTGGAGGCATCTTCCTGAAAATTTGGTAACTTATGTAATTGAGTGTGCTCTATCTTTTTTATATAAACACCAAAGAAGGTTTATGTGAAAGAAACTGTTCAAATGATGAGTCGGGCTCTTTGCCATTTTGACTAGCTGTGTTTGGGAGTCCATAAACTCCACGAAAGAAAAGCTTTGTGGAATCTCTCAAAAGTGATTTTGTAGAGAAATAGTGGATCCTTTTGATGAAACCAAACGTATATTTAAAGAAGGCTTTATGTGTGCAAAAAGTCCCTTTAAAGTTTGGCGCCGAGTCATAGTCCCCAACCCAATATAATACGTTTTCTAAAATGCAACTGTTTTACCAGTTTAGTTAAACCAAAAATACTGTAAGTGAATGGTATTAAAATTGAACGTAAACTTGCAATCAATTTTAAATCAAAAATCAAATTTCAACTTTCTACTTGATTACGATAGTTTTTCATATTCTTTCTTCAACTTTTATTTATGTCTATTTATCGATAGCTTTTATCGATCGATTTTATCGATTCTTAAGCCGATGTGAGTCAATTTCTTGTGCTTTAATTGCAAGTAATTTTGAGAATCGATTAGTCAATCAAATTTTAATCTCATTCGGTGCAGTTTTCATTATTAAATGAGATCAAAAAGGAATCGAATCGAAAAAGAATCGAAAAAATCCGATGTAAAATTAGTTTTCCGAATTTCCCCACCTTTTGAAAACGAATTTACGATGAATTCACTTCAATCAATAGTTAAAATCTGTACAAAGAAGTTTATTCACATTTGTCTAAGAGATACAACATGTTTAGATAATTATTTTAAATTTAATGATTGGGAATCAGGTTGGCGAGGTGCTTGGCCAGACCCAGAGCGGCCGTGTAGAATAGGCGACAGAAGGTCTCCTGAAACAAGGAAATCTTTCATTATTCAATTAATCAATCAATCAGTCATCAAACACACACCATCTGGTGCACTCAACAATCTTATTTTTCTTGGTGTTGGAACGAGGAATTCTGTGCGTCAGAAAGCGGACAGAAAGCGGACATTTCTCGGGGAAATTCGAGGGGAAGGGGGAGGATTAGCCTCCCCTTATAACGCTTACCACTTACCACCCAGGAATCGCTACGTGGTGTAGTGGATAGTTGGTTAGGGTACGGACTAGGTACTTGAGGGTTCGAATCTTCTCACTATCTTTTGTTTTTTTTGTAAACACTTTTTATGGTCTCTCATAGCATATTCATTGCCAGCTTATCATAGTTTGTTCTATGCCAGATGATGCGCGTTTCTATGTGGAAAGGAAGGGGCACACAGGAAGGAAACATATAGAATAGATTTTCTAAAAAGAAATAGGTGAGCAGATTCAACTCGAGTAGATCTCCAACTCGAACGCAGGATTCTAACCGCTATCCACTACACTACTCACACTACACTACACTACACTACGCTATCCACTACACTACTACACCATTCTGGCGTGTGCACGCCCTTATCGCCAAATTCGCCAAATTGCGCGCGCTTCAGAATCATTTTACAAAAACGAATCAGATATTTGAAATCAGCGTAAAATTCTGCGTCCGATGGTCTATGGTTCATTCCATTTGGTGAGCTGGGTCTCTTGAGCTGAGCTGGGTCTCTTGAGCTGAGCTGGGTCTCTTGAGCTGAGCTGGGTCTCTTGAGCTGAGCTGGGTCTCCTGACCAACACTTGTAGGTACATCATAAAGCTAGACTATTCAAAGTCGTGCGTACTAAGGATATATTGGGTTGGTGGAAAAGTCCTTTCGGATTTTTTGCGAGAGTACCTTAAATTTGTCCAATTTTGACGTTTTATAGCTCATCCTAAAGCTGAATTCAAGAGTTTTATAGCTGAATTCCCTAGGTTTCTGCAGGGAAAACTAACGAAACGTGAAAACAGCCATTTTTTTTTTTTTGGCTCTGCCGCCCTTTACTAAAATAGCTGTAAAAACTTTTAGAAAAGAGATATCTCAAAACGGCTTTTACCAATCGATTCGTCTTGAATTCAGCTTTAGGATGAGCTATAAAACGTCTAAATTCGACAAATTTAAGGTACTCTCCCAAAAAATCCGAAAGGACTTTGCCATCAACCCAATAGATCCTTTATTGACACGTAAGTACCAATCTGCTCTTAAAGTTTTACAGATCCTCACCGGTAAGCCAGTCTTCTTCACACACATCGCGACATCGGCAGTCACTTGAGTGATGTTGTTCTCAATGTCTTCAATTTCAGCGAGAAGCTTCTGCCGCTGAAATTTGCATTATTTAGCCGTTGAAAACAGCTCTACTTAAAGTTCTAATTAGTTAAAATTATCTTAAAGTCTCACTATTAGATTTACAAATTGTATTTATAATCACAATCAATTTCCGTTAGTTCAATTTCTAATATTAGGCTAATATCGCAATATTATGCCTCAAAAGCTTGAAAACCGGCTTTGACTTGATCTATCCTTGATCTGTCCTTGATCTGTCCTTGATTAGACTTCAAAATAATCACCGAATCTCTACAACTACAACTACAACTCTACAGTCTTGTATAAAAGTAGAATAATGAATAGTGGAAAGATAGGCGCTGAAATTCCTCCTAAAACCCACCGCCTCGTCTCCCGTTTTTTCATTCGTCTCTTCAGCATAAATAAAGAAGAAAAAAACGAAGGTAATCAATAAATATCGAATCATTTTCTTTCCTTGAAACTGCTTTGATGACCTTTTCTTGATAAACGGAGAGTAGAAATGGAGATTTTCCCGTTCCACTTGATTTTTGCTCGTTCCACTCAGCTCATCCATTTTGCTGAGGATTTCGAAAGTTGACCCGGAAAAAAAAGATTTTCGGGTGTTTTGATAGAAAATTACGAACGAACTTAACGATTTTATTGAAATTGTTTTGAGTTTTTGAAAAGTTTAATGAATAACCTGGGAAAAGAGTTTAAACTTTAGAGAAACTGTTTCCAAAATTTCAATTTGCTTCAATTTAGAAGTGTTTTTGAAAGTACAATAGGTTTATCTATTAGGTTGGTGCAGATGAAACTTCCGTTGGAACCATAAACAAAATTTATTATAAAAATCCTAATACAGAACCTCAATCCAAAAGATATTCGCCATCATTATCAATGACTCTTTGCCATCTTCCACGCAGAGAATGGATGCCCTTTTCGAAGAACTCGGGCAACTGCGACTCGAAGAAGTTGGACACCCAGATTTCAACTTCTTCGCGGTTTTTGAATTTTTTTTCTGCTAAAGAGTGCTGCATCGAACGAAACAAGTGGTAGTCGGATGGGGCCAAGTCCGGGCTATATGGCGGATGAGGCAGAACTTCCCAGCCCAATTCCTCGATTTTCTGCTGAGTGGTCTTTGCGGTGTGGGGTCGAGCGTTATCGCGAAGCAATTTTGTAGTCGCTGTGTTATTGCCTTGACGACGCAATGCCTGGTCCACGCGGCTCAATTAGGTTTTGTAGAGATCCGCCGTGACTCTTTGGCCCGAATCCAGCACCTCAAAATAACGAGACCTTTACTATTCCACCAAATACAAAGCATCACCTTTTTCCGTGGATATTCGGTTTGGGAGTCGGTTTTGGCGGTTCACCGGCGTCCAATCACTGCCGTTTTCTTGTTGTGTTGTCGTAACATATCTACTTTTCATCTGCCGTAACAAAGAGTCGAGAATTCCAGCCATTGTAGCTCGAGCCGCTTTGTTTGCGTCGCTGAGCTGATGTGGCACCCATTTTCCACACCGATTCGTCTTACCAAATGCGTGCAAATGGCGGAGAATGGTTGTATGGTCGCAGTCAAACAGCTCTGCAAGCTCTCGAGTTGTTTGGCATGAATCCGATTCGATAGCGTTCTTCAACTCATGTTGTCGACAATTTGAGGCGGATCCCGCGTTTTTGTCTTCCAAACTCTCATCACCGTCTCGGAAGCGCTGAAACCAAGTCCGGCATTGACGTTCGGACAACACGTCATCGCCGAATGCTTTGCACAGAGCACGATGAGATTCCGCAGGCGTTCTGCCTTGTTTAAAATCAGACAACAAGCAAACCCGCACTCGAAATTTTTCGCCAACCATTTTCTAGAAGCTAAAAATTACTTCAAATTAAGTAAAACGCTTAAGGCTTAGATATCAAAAGACGCGCAAAGAGACGCTCTTTCAGATAGACAAATATCTTCAATAAAAACTTTTATTAGGTTCAAAATATAAACAAACAAGTGTGACGGAAGTTTCATCTGCACCAACCTAATAAAATATGCTCTATGGAAAAATTACCGTAACATTACTGTCTTTTTCACTTACAAGGGAAGATCACGAAATCAAGGTGGCCAATCGATATGACCATCTGACCTAGGCCATCCGAAGCAGAATTTGACGCTGATTCAGAATCTGCTGTCCGTTTTTGCTAAATAGATAGGAATCGCAAGGAATTTGGCAAACAAGCTTTGGCTTCGCTTATAATGTTTGCGCGAGTGACAAAGAAATGATTGCGTAGTGTAGCGAAATGATTGCGTAGTGATTGCGTAGTGTAGAGGATAACGAATCCAAAGTTGTAGGTCGTGGTTTCAATTCCCTTTAAGTTTTTCTTTTTTTGAACAACCGTTTTATAATGTTCCCTAATCTCTTTTTCTTCGTAATTTCCTAAATATTCAAAAATTTTTACAGTTGACACGTTTTCAAAAAGTTCTGGCTAACAAGGGAAGGTCACAAAATCAAGGTGGCCAATCGAAATGAGACCTAGGCCATCTGCTGCAGAATTTGGTGCTGATTCCGAATCTACTGTCCTTGCTAGATAGATCGGAATCACAACGAACTTGGCAAACAAGTTTTGGCTTCTACTCCCTTTAAGTTTTTCTTTTTTTTTGAACAACTCTTTTATAGTGTCCCCTAATTGGATTATTTGATATTTATATTATTTTATAAATCATATTTTAATATTTATATAATTTGTTTGACATTTACTTTAAAGTGAACAATCGAATGTGCTTCTAAAAATTTTGACAAATGAATTTAAAATCAAATTATTTCGAGAATTTGAACGCAATATACACAAGGGTCTAGGTTTACGGAATCAGTGAAAAATTTGGTACAAAATAGGTTTGGTTTCGTTTTGAAAGTCGGTGTTAAGCCTGGAAGGGTCTCTAGTAAACTGTAGCATTCTACTTGTTGAAGTCTACTAGTGGACTGGCTTCAACATTGACTTCTAGCGAGACTTTGACGAGAACTATTTGAGGAAACTTTTAGCTTCTGACAATTCTGGTGGTTAGTCTGAAAGGGTCAGTTAGATTTCAACAAACTCGTAGAATAGAATTACTAAATTTTCACACCAAGCTTTAGGTTGCCTTGTTCTAGGAGAAAATGACTAGTTTTGGTCTCGCTTTTGACTGCTTTAAGTAGATTTTAAGCCAAAGCCAAGCATCCAAGCTTTTCCTAGTTGCGTAGAAAACTAGCGTAACTGACTTTCCTGTGTCAGAGTTTCCTCGTGAATAAACAATAATCCCAATTAGATGAGATCTGGAGGCTGTACTGGTGCACAGCTTTTTTTTTTAAACCCTTGCGAGTTTTTCTTTGTCCCTCTATCTATTGCAAAATGCGTTCCTTGTTGGAATTGTGTAGGCTGACGTCGGGGTGATTCCCACGATCTCCCATCGATTCCCATCCTTTCTCTTTTTCATCAAGTTCACCTCTGCACTTTCATTCTTCGTGAGTTTCGAAGTCTCTAGACTTTTTTTTTTTGATTCATAAATGATTTAGAGTCATAAGATTGGATAGAATTGAGTGTTCACTTTACAGTAGACTTCAGAGTGGTTCATTCAAATCAAATTCTTTCAAATTTAAAGCCTTCTTGTTCTTGGACTTTCACAATTTTCCCTGTTAATCTAAAGAATTCTTATTTTTCTGTAAAAATACTTAAAACATTATCTACAGTACTGGACAATGAAATATGATATTTGAAAAAACGATCGTCACTTTCGCGCGTCTGTAACTCCCTTGTCTTTGAGTTTAAACTATTAGTGTTATACATTTTCTGAAAGCTCTTTTCAAGGGCTACACAATGGTAATATTAATATTTAGAAATACGGTAAAGACAATAGAGTTACAGACGCGCGAAAGTGACGATCTTTTTTCAAATCTGATATTTCATTGTCCAGTAGTGCAGATTCCTCCAAGTTCCCCATTTGTCATGTAGGTATTTGATAGTTTCCAACGTTAAATCATCTCTTAACCCTCCGATACAACTTTTTAACGCTAAAGTTCTGTAGCTAGATTCTCTAGTTCTGCAGCTACAGTCCTGGGCAATGAAATATGATATTTGAAAAACGATCGTCACTTTCGCGCGTCTGTAACTCCCTTGTCTTTGAGTTTAAACTATTAGTGTTATACATTTTCTGAAAGCTCTTTTCAAGGGCTACACAATGGTAATACTAATATTTCGAAATACGGTAAAGACCAGGAAGTTACAGACGTGCGGAAGTGACATCGTTTTTCAAATATCATATTTCATTGTCCAGTAGTGTAGGTGACAAGCAATGCTAAGAAAAGCGACTTTTTGCTCGATGTTGGAAAGTCGCATATCACAAGGAATTTTGCAAACAAGTTTTTGGCTTCTACTCCCTCTAAGTTTTTCTTTTTTTGAACAGCCGTTTTATAATGCTCGGTGTTGGAAAGTCGCATATCTAGGAAATTTTGATGTAAGTTGACAAGCAATACAAATGATAAGCTTGGCTAACAAGCCAGACAAGGAAAAGGCAACAGATTTGGCCATTCAACGCAGAATTTCACTCTGATTCCGAATCTGTTATGCATTTTTGTAATTTCATAATGACAAAATGGCTTTCTATAATCTCAAAATGGCAAAATGACTGCAAAGCCGAATAGTAATAGTCCCCCCCCCCCCATAGGGGGGGGTGCGTAGTTAGCTTTGAACGAGTTCTCGACACTGGCAAGGGTCAAAAAAAGCGCTGAATTTCAGCTTTTTGTATGGGTCGGTGTTTTAAGTTTTAAGCTGAAAAGGCAAAAATTTAGATCCCGTCTTTAAAAGGTTTCTCTCTAGAACGTCAAATGTGATTGGATGGTGTAGTGGATGAAGCCCTTGTTGCTCTGCGAAACAGTTGCTTCATTCTTTGCTCGAGTTCGATACTTTTTTGCAAAACTTTTATTTTTCGTTTTTGTGAGCTGAGAATAAGCTTGACTTCTTTGGTCTTTTATGCGCAATTCAAGTTTGTCAAGCTAAATCTTGGCTTTCAAGAAGTTTAGATTTCCTGTAGAGCCCTATAGGCTACAGAAAATATTTAGCCAAAGACTGTAGAGTGGATGAAAAGTCCAAAGTCACCTACAAGAATCGTTTCTACATTCATCTAACAAAGAAGTTAAATGGAAATTGAGTTCAGATTCGGAATATTGTGCATTTTGATCTTTGATTTTTGAACTTCTCAAATGAAACTTTTATGTTTTAAAAGGTGACGTTTCAGAACTCCCGCTAATTTGAGCCATCTTCTGTAAGTTCTGCAATCTTTGTAGCTTATAGTTTGTAGTCCAGGCAAGTTCTGCAATCTTTCTAGCTTGTAGTTTGTAGTCCAGGCAAGTTCTGTAATCTTTCTAGCTTGTAGTTTGTAGTCCAGGCAAGTTCTGCAATCTTCTGTAGTTTTAAATTTGTTCTTTATTCGTTCTTTATTATGTTTTTTTATTTGTTCTTTTTTGTGTTGTGAAAACCCTTTTGCTCCAAAACGGATTACATTTCAAAATCCACTTCAAAAGAGGCCAAAAAAGTGAACAAACAATAGCGCGGTCGCGTTTTTCA